GGGGGGCGGCCGCGATCGCACCGACAGCTCCCTGCGCACTGGGACTTCCGGGGTGGCCGCCCCTTCCGGTCGCGCCGCCCGCTCTCGCGATAGGACACGGCCGAGCGCGGGCGCCTGCGCACGCAGTTGCCGTGGAGACCGCGTCGCGACGGAGCTGCCGCCTGTGAGTCGCTCGGGCTGCGGCGCCGAGGCCGGACGCTGCGGGGCGGCGGGGCCCCATGGGCCTCTCCAAGAGCAAGGAGCGACTCCGGAAAGGTAGGGACCCGGACCCGGACCAGGACCCCAGACCCTAGAAACCCGGACCTCGGACCCCAAGCCCTAGACCCCGGACACAGACCCTAGAAACCCGGACCTCGGTCCCAGGATCCCAGACCCCAAACCCTAGAAACCGGACCCCGACCCTAGAAACCCAGACCTCGGACCCTGACCCTGGACCCCAGACCCCGGACCCCGGGCCCCAGACCCCAGACTCGGACCCCGGACCCTGGACACCCGGACCTCGGACCCCAGACCCTAGACCGTGGACCTGGACACAGACCCCAGATCCTAGACACCGGACCTGGACCCTAGACCCTAGACCTGGACTCCAGACCCCAGACCATGGGGCCAGACCTGGAACCTGGACCCCATCCCCCCTCTCCCGTCCAGCCTCCCCACCCCTCCACACCCCTATCCCCACCTCCCCCCCCCAAGTCCCTTCTGCCTCCCCCACCTCTTGTTGTCCTGGCGGAGTGGGCTGTACCCCGGAGGGAAAAGCAGGAAGTCGAAGTCGAGGTGGAGCACCTGTCTGTGTTTCAGGCGAGGAGCCCAAGAAGGGGCCCCCACACATCATTCCGAAGCCCAAGGAGAAACCCTTGGAGAAGCACTCCTCGGAGGCCAAGCCGGCGGACAGGGAGGCCGAGAAGCCCCCAGACAGCCTGCACCCGGGCACCGTCAAGGGCCAGAGGTCTTCAGCCTCTTCTGAAGGTAGGAGATCTGGAGGGCACAGGGTCTGAGGTGCAGCCTGGGGGCTTGGGGACAGACAGCTGCCTGTTCTGAGGCCCCGCGGGGAACCCCAGTCGCTTGGGCACCTGGCTCAGGCCCTTTGTGGGAGGTAAGCACCAGAACCCTGGGGGAAACACGGACTCTGCAAAAGTGCAGGCAGTCCCCGAGTGATAGAGAGGCAGTCAGGGCTTGGGCTCGGGCCCGGGTCTGTCCCCGGGCAGGCGGGATCTCTGGGACCCCATTCACGCGCTGCTGACTGTGGGGTGCCGGCCTGTGCGGTGTGGAGGGGAGGGAATGACCCGGCCCGGTTCCCACCTGGTGACAGCCGTGGGACCAGACCCCTGGGGCCAGGAAGGTATGCCAACCCCCGTAGGAAGCCAGGTGCCAGCTGTCTGCAGCTCTGTCACTTGGGTTTGAGAGCGATGAAATATCCCACCACGGGAGGCGCGACAGGGTCTGATTCTGGGGGCTCCCCGGTTCCTCAGTGGAGCCTCTAGCAGCAAGGGGCCTGGGAACTGCCACCAGGGCCCCTGTGAGCCTGGATGTCCAGCAGCAAGTAGCAGAGCCTGCTGGGGTGGGGCTGCCGGAAGCCAGGACTGGTCCAGAGAGTACCGGCCTGCCTGGAGGTGGGAAGCGGGAGCCGGGCCTGGCCTGTCGGACTGAGGGTGTCCAGGACCAGAAGCAGCAGGCAGTTTGGGAGTGGGGCACTGGCTTGGGAGAGGCCTGGACTTGGGATCTCATCATAGGAAGGCCGCAGGAGGGTGGGTCCTGGGGATGAGGTTTGGAAGATGCTCCCTTCCCGTCAGGGTGCTCTTAGCCGAACGTTGGAGAAGCCAGGTACGCGCAGCTTTCATACCGCTGGGGTAAGGTCGGGCCTCCAGAGTGGTCTGCCCAGCAGCTGCACCGTGACATCAGCTTCTCTCATGTCTGCTCTGCCACCTTGTGTCAGGGCTGTCTCCACACAGTCCCCGACGGGGCAGCTCTCAGCACCAGGGCAGGCAGGCTGTACCTGCTCCAGGAGGCATTCCCCGCGCTTTGCACTGGGGCAGGTCGGCCTCCGTGTGGGAGAGTCCCGGGGCGGGAGCAGGCAGAGGGCTCCCAGCCAGGGAAGGTGTGGGCAGGGGGCTGCCCGCTGCACGGGTACTAGCCATGCCTGTCAGTCGGCCTCATTCCACGTGGGCAGGAGAAGGCTAGGAAGGGAACAGCAGGGCGAATGAGCCTGGAGTTTCAGTTAGTCCCTCCCTACCCTGGGACTGGGACGAGGGACGGGCCTCCGCGTGCTCCACGGTGGGGGAGCCCCGCATAATGTGGGGAGAGAGGAGTCTGACACAGAGACCACAGACACCATGTCCCCTTTATTTAAAACATCCAAAAAGACAGATTTATACAGAGAAGCAGATCGCTTTCCTGGAGCGTCGGGTGAGAATGGGGACTGGCCACAGTAGATCACAAGGGGACTTTTTGGGGTGAAGGAAATCTTCTCAAGACTGGATGGGTGGCCCCCCTCCACCTGATGCCACATGGGAAACTGCAGTCAGGCGCCCTGTCCCTCAGCTCTCCTAGCCCAGGTCCAAACTTGCGCACGGACAAGGCCCTGGCTTGGGGTCTTCCTGCTTGTCACCACACGTCTCGTAGCAACGGCCAGCAGCCGGGGGCGTACCATCTCAGATGCCCTTCCCAGGCAAGCCTTCGACATCGGACTGCCACGGCCAGGGTGTCACAGGTGACCACCGCGCAGCAAAGACCCGCAGGATCGTGGGAAAGTAGTGTGGTTGGTCAGGCTGCTGAGGTGGGGGT